TGTTTTCTGACACTTGGTGAGTTCCCTGGAACACCGGGGACACATATTCATGTATAAAAGACGTACAAAAGTGCATTTTGCATGATAGGTCCCCTTTAAGATCGATATTCAAAATTACAGATTCAAAATTGTACAAGTTGAAGCGTTTGTTTTCACAGTTGGCAAGAGCGCAGGTACTTGCTTTCAAGCAGAACAGGGGCAAACAAACTTAGCGGGAGTGTTTACGTGTTCGGTGTAATGACGTACGACGTCCTCGACAACTTCTGTAGTCCTATTCAGCCAGTTGTTAACAACCATCGTTTTTCAGATCCGTCTCTTAAATTTGTGTCAACCACAGACCTTATTTCCAGCTATTTTCCAAAATCCTATGGAGAAATCCCATTGGCTCTGAGACAAGGGAACCGGAAGTGGTAAAATGTTAACTCACTTCCGGGTTTTAGGACTCGTCACTGCACTCTATAGACACAACTGGATAGAATCAGGGCGTTGCAAACTATTACAAAAAGGCGGGGCATACAAAGACAGGAAGTCAAACCAGACATGACACTATAAGAGTGATTTAACAAATTAAACAGGAGAAAGAAAAAGCATAAGCAAAGATCATGACACAGGCAGTTTGGTTATGTCTGGATCATTAATCATGGCTCTACCTGTTGCTGTAGTCCGTTATTTTGATTTAATTTATGGCATCCGGAAGCTTTGTGACATCCCCTTGGATCCTTCATTTTCAAATATGTTCACATACATGGTTTGTCCATGTTGAAATTGTATTGCGTTGTTTATTCTGGAACAAGATGTCTTTCACGTTCTTGGAAAGGGATCATCCCGAGTTGTTTTTTTCTCCCCATTAATCGATGATGTATTGATACCCAACAACTGGCTAAAACCACCTAATGTTGTACAGATGCAGCCATCATAGATTTAGCCCTGGTCAACAATCATGGGTCCTTGGCAGAAAGTAGATCCTGTGATGACGCAGTGAATGCTGGGTCGTAACGAGAAACCATCCGGCAGGTTGGGCAGTGTTTACATAAGCTGGAGCGGTTTAGACCTCTTTAATCAGTGAATCTTATCTTATTTCATGAGAGGGTTTGCTTCCCCGACACAGTATCCTCATGATTGTATTATGATTATCACTTGATGATTTAATGCTGACACTTGTAAGACCTTGATAAAGATTGCCATTTTTTTTTTTACATAAAGCGGCTAAATGGTGATACTATACCTTCCATCCGTGACCATCCTCAATAACAGCCTGTTTAAATAAGTCTTCACTCTAAAACACACACAGACACACACACCTTCACTCAAATGTAAGCCCCCTTTTCGAGACTCAAAGACATTCTGCCACCAACAGCTAACTTGAGTGAATGATTTATTATTAATAAAACCAATATTTTAATGGACTGAAGCCAGTGGAAGAACAAATCCCTTTTATTAAGACTGCCACTTAGTCACTTTAAGATGATTTGTGTTTATGAATTGTATGTTAAACTGTGTATGGTGAGTGTTATTGTATCTTATTTGCCAGTGCCAAATACTGTACACATTTCCATTGTATGTAAATGTAATGGACAATAGAATATTCTGAATCTGAATTCTGTTCATAAGTTTGATTTAATGAAATTCGAAAGAACCGCATGAAAATGAAAGCAAGATTTTATAGGTTTATTACGTTTCCTCCATCTCAAAAACTCTTAATGTTTGAGTCTATGGATTTCCTCCCATGGTGAGAATCCATAGCAAATGTGTGTTGGAGCGGGAGAAGACAGCTGTTAGCGATTGGAGCAGAGAAGAAATAGGCAGGATATTTGCCAAGTGGTAGCAAATGTACAGTGAAGGTTTCACTTTTATGAACAAATATATCTCCCACAACGCCTGCTCAAAAAATAGCATGCAGTGATCAGTAACCAGGATACTGGTATTTATCCTGCCAGCTGTTGTAATTGGTGGTAGTTTAGGACATATTTGAGGCAATAGACTGTGATACTTCTACATAAATTGGACAATGTGATGTGTGAGTTAAACATGCTGCACATTGAACCATACTGTTACAGTACGGGTGCCTGGAGCGGCCGGGAAAAAAAGGGTAAATTCAGTCTGGCAGCATTTATCTGACATGTTGTTGTAATGTGAGCATATCTAAAGCTCAACAAAAAGCCTAACGTGTGGAAGCACAATAGTCCATTTAAAACAAATGCAGGGGTGACTGTAAAAGTGTAAATCTCAGCCTTTTTAATTGTTGTGCTACAAATCAAACCATAACATTGGTTATACTTGAATAAACACTATCATTTATGATGAATCCAATCTTGAGGTGACAACACAGTTCCTTTAAATGCCCATATGAGTTATTTTGAAAACGTATATAAGAAGTTGTTTAAAGCATTTATGTAAGGGAACTGCAATGGTCCACATACGTTTATGTATGACAGCTAGAACAATTTAAATTTAATTCCATCTGATGGTGTAAATTACCTTTTGTCAGAAAGACTATTGTGGGCATATTTTTATGTTTCCTTATTTTCCAACAGCAATGGATATTCTTAAACTCTTTTAATGCAAGTTTAGTCAAAGGCTTACACAATGCGGTCAAAGCTGTCTAAGAGGATGCTAGCCTAATATCCCGGACCATGGCTGACCCCAAACTTCCAATTGAATATATCTTGTTTTAGATATGCACCCACCTAAGGCACCAAAAGTAGGAGGGTCCTACTTCCAACCCTAACCCTAACCTGAACCACCCTTCGGCCACAGTAGCAAGCTAGCTGCTTTTGTCTGGGGTAGCTGCCACTGACAGAATATAAAGTATATTATTTATCTATTTCCCACCCCCATTTCTCTTTCCCTCTCTCTCAATACGTTTTTCTCATAATCGTAATGCCATAATAACACCAATAGAAATCTGAGACCACTTACAGAGCTCTAAGATAATTGTCTTGATTTCCATGATTTGTTTGTGTACTTCACAGACTCTGCGGAGGTACTGCAGTGCCAGATGGCTCAGTGTACTTGCATGCTTACAGTTAGTACTGACCAGCGGGATGCTTTATCTATAGGCATATTTTAACAGTCATGAGAGAGTGGAATAGAATGCCAAAGTTTGTGATCTCGAAAGCCATCTCTGTGATCGAGGTATGAAAACATTCTTTATGTTCCCAAGTGTTGCCTTTCAGCCTTGAGCTGGATAGATGCAAACATTGATACTAACTTTTGTCTGTCAAGAAGGCATGAGTGTTAGTTTTATGGTGTTCATGTGTGAGTTTTCGATTCACAGCTCTAAATTGATCCAAACATTGTTAACACACACATGTCAAGTCTTTTTAATTAGGAAGTAAAGACGGATCTGAAACCAGCATCCACAGCCAGTGATGTAACATCAGCGTACATTTTTCTTGCAATTCTTGTATCTGACACATGTATCGAGTTGATACATGACATCACCTGGTCTTTCAACTTTTCAAAACCTCTTCATCAGTGACACACATGCATTCTATTATCGTCTCAGAGATGTTATAGTTGTTTACTGACTGGTAGAGTGTTGTTGACTGTAATAGTCACTTGTAGTTTGCTGTTAGTTAGGATTTGTTTTGCTTAACATCCCTACAGAAAAATATATATAAAACACTTGGATGCTTCTTTTTTTTTAAATGACTCAGCAGTTTAAATTCTTTGCAACAGAGATGCACTTATTGCAGAGCAAACACACTGGCTTGCCCTCAGTGATTTCAATGTTCACATATCTCTCAGTCCTGATGCTATTTTTGGCATCCTCTTCAGGGTTGACAGCTACATTGAGCCATCTGTTATCCAAATTCAACACCGGACGCCTGCTAGCCAGCTAAATGTGCCGTTACTTCTACAAGCGCATGTAAGGTGGGCTGTCATCAATTATGCATGATGACTGACAGCTCAGGACACCCTGCCAATTAAAAGGTTTTTTTGTGGCAAAATGTCCGATATTTGGAGGACATCTTTCTTTCTTGAGGTTTTACAAAGGACCAATCATGGTCTGACATATTCTGTGGACTCGAGTTGGCCCGAGGGCTAAAGCCCCTTACACACCGAGCCGATTATCTCGGTGTGTAAGCGTCGATAGATGTCGGGCCGTCGATGAGCGTCGTGTCGCCCTACTCAGATTGGTGTGTACTGCACCGCCGTGCACCGTCGTGTCTTTTCGGCCGTGCCGACACCTTCCGCCGCCGATTCGACATGTTGAATTCCGGTTGTTGCCTCTTTTGAATGACGAATACACACTACCGCTGCCTGCTGGTAAGGAGAGTTATTGCCACTCACGCATGCGCAGTTCGTACGTGCAACTTGGCCGTCGGCTGAAGTCTTTGCGGTATGTTCCAGTGCGAAACATGGCCAAGACGCAGGAGACGTGAGGCGAAGTTCCGTCGGGACTTGTTCTTTGGTGTCAGTTTGGTGTGTAAGAGGCTTAAGAGTTGAAAAGGCCTGGTCTACGGTTTAAGGAAAACTTAAATAGTAAACTAGCAATTGTATTGGTTAATTTTTTTAATAAATACCAGCCCTATGAGTCAAAGGGGATTGAACCACAACACATTTTGTTGAGTCTGGTTATAGTAGAAACAAGGGGTTGGCCCCTCACTGGCTTCCCACCTACCAACATTTCAATTGGGTGAAGAGATGTCAACATATTTCAATTGTTTGGGCATGTTAGTGTGGATGGCAGACCTTGAAAAAATTGAAAACGGAATGTGAATTGAATCCCATTTGTCATTGGGATATCACATTTTGCATCAATGCTGTAGAAATGTTACAACCTTTTAAGGAAACTCTACCATATACAACATGATCCAGATGGGGCTGCTCCTAACTCGCAATTCCTATTCTTATGTTTTCCTGTCGTGTGAGCATGCATTGTTTAGCAAATGAAGACATGGCAGATGTTGACAGGAAGAGAAACGCCAGACCTGCTCTGGCAACAATTTTGTCAGACTTTGTAAAGATGAAGAAGTAGAGCATTTAAAGTCCAAAGTTCCATTTGACTTTATTGGCTGCTTACCAGCTAAACAGGAATGATTTTCTGATTAAAATAGTTCAGGGGCCAATAAATAAATACCTCCTCTCACACTGATAGTGTACAAGGTCAAATACAGTAACAGCAACATACAGAACCAGGGATGAGCCGACAAGTGTCCTATATAAATGTCTTTACTGTATAACATTTGCATTTACCAAAGTAAACCAAGTTTACCAGCCAAGTGTCAGTTGATGCTAGAGGCCATGAGGTTGAGTTCATTCATGGCCGAAGAAACGTTGTATTTATGCAGTTCTGTCTTGCTGTGCTTGTTCAGGATGGAGACAATGGTTAGGAGAAATTGGATTTTAATTGCCAAATACCATTAATGTGTCTTTGGTATCGACCCTTCTTAGTGTGACTGCACCAAAGTCCTTCAGCTTGCAGAGTTCATGTATCGTCACAGAAATGCTGTATTTCAGTTTCTCTGTGCTTGTGCAGGATGGAGACGATGGATTTCCATCACGTCTCCATGTTATCGTCCATTCTTGTTCTAACTCCAATACTCTCAGTACTCCCTGGCCTCTTTAAGTTCTGTTTGGAACACCTGTTCAGTGGGGTTCTCTAAACAGCTCAGCCCATTGTTAGGCGGCCTCACTGAGTGAAACAGACTCCAGTCTCCCTTGCACAGGATCCAGGGTAGAACATCCACCTTATAATGAAGTTCTGGTGAGAACTCAGTACTGATCAGATTGGGTGCTCCTGCTCCTTTCCCTCGTGTTATCAGTTTCAATTGATCGTCGTAGCAACAGTGCTGAGCGGCCAGCGTGGTGCTATCGTATGACAGCATGGAGCGGAGGCAGAATCTGGCGGAGGGTTTGTAGATGTCCAGGCGCTCTTTGGGTCCGCTGGCGTCCCTCCAGCGATAGGTCTTACGGAGTGAGCCGTCCTGGATGTTGACGGCGCTGTAGACGGCCTCTAAGGGGAAGGAGCACGGGCAGCTGGGCAGCTCTGTCAGCATCTGGTGCAGGTACTTCTCCAGGAAGTCGTTCTTACAGCTGAGCCACTTCTCACAGCTGTCCACGTCTAGGTATGGGGATTGGAAGAAGTTTGATTGAATTAGTCTTTACATTCTTATAATTATTGGAATACAATAACCAGTCAGATATAGAACGATTGCATTGGCTGCATTAATGACCCTTTGTCAAAGTGCATCACATATTATTTAATTTTAAAATGCTACAAAGTGAAATCCAATTCAGGTAATAGCAACTGGAACCCAACAAGGAAATGGCAAAAACACGGAAAGTATTAAACCATTTCCCTGCAGTAACTGTCCAAGAAAAAATTTCAGGAACTGTACAAACAAATTTGGGTCTTTCTGGTTTATTTTGCTATTAAGCTGAATTAGCTTAACAACAGGAATGCGCTAACTTCCATTTTTCTTTTAAAAGATCCTTGCTTGAAACACCAAAGTTCATGCATAGTTAAGAGAACATCAAGGAAATCCCTTTGAAGGAAACTTTGGAGAACATGTACATGCACAACAACCTATCTATCACACTACATAGGGATAACCCTAAATAGCATAATGTGGCCTCTTTAGGTGTTGAATAAAAAAGGGAAGAAAAACGTTTTTGTTAATTGTTATATTAAAAGCTTCTCTATATATTTGCTTCCTATAGTGGATGTGGGTTGAGAAGGAAAATGTCAGACACTGGATTGTGTTCTCCTTTCCTGCTCTATCTCTTGTTATGTTTGCAGAGTGAAGAGAACTATCGTGTTCTCTGGCCGCTGCCTGCAGCAGGAGAGCAATAAAATGGAAACTAAAAGCAATTCAAACATTTCTGGGAGGCAGGGTCGCGGTTTCATCGTTTCTCTGACATACTCAGCAGTGCAGCTCTCAACATGGGAGGTTTCTAAATATCAAAATCAGAGGTTTTTCCCCACCACTGAATGGAACATAATGTTTCATATGCAGGTCAACATACAATATAACAGTCATCCAGAAACTCAATACGTACTTGTGTCCAGGGAGTCTGTGCTGTTGTCCTTCTGGATGGGTGTGGGATCAGTCACTGAAATTGCAGTGTCTATAAGACAAACAAAAAACAAATTGTCTTTATTTGTGTCTTGACCAACATACTGTCATTTTACACTTTAATGAACAAAATAGGAATACTAATAATAGTGGGTGAATCTGTTTTTTTAGGTTTGGTTTTGTCTTTTCCATTAAATGAAGTTGTCCTGGCTGCTGCTTTGAAAAGATTATTGATACCTCATTGTCGAGAATACGGACAGATCTAACCTTATTTCCGTCATATAGATGTTTTCATACATTGTCAAAGCTGGAAAACAATCTAGTGTACCGAGGTAACTGATGTATATGTTGTGTTGCTTTAATGCACAGTGTTTTTTATTTCATCTAAGGGGGAACCACACTTGGCCCACACTGGGGGTAAAAAATGACAACAATGCAATAAAGTAAAGAATGTCTGTTTCCAAACCATAGGTGTGTTAAGTTTCGTTCAATGTTTCTCTCTAAATCCAACGAATGTGTTGAATATTCTTGCTTCTATAAGTTTTGCAAAGCTGATTTTTAAATAGTTCCTTTTCTTAGATTGTATGCTCCTTAAGGACAGGGGAAGATAGCAACATTTACATCACACAGTTAAAGCCTGTTCAATCTGGTTAGGGTGGTAAAGACTACTGAGAAAGTGGTTTTGTATTATTATGTTACTGGTGGTATTTGTTGTGTACTCTCAAGTCTTGAGTGTTGTATTGGTCTCTCTGCTGTGTTTCTGAGAATAAAATATCTTCCCTGGACAAATTGTCTTTGATCATCTGAACTGAATTGGTATTCTTGTTCTTCCTCACTTAAAAAACACAAAACTTGCTATCACTAGTTAGCTTAATTGCATAAGTTGCAGTGGCTTGGTAGCTCATCTAAAATTGGAATTCATGCCACTTCTTGTCATATCCGCTATAACAGCTGCTGTTTTGGGTGATAGTTGACCTCATTTAAAACATTTGTATGTTACTTACTGGCACAGTCCTCCAAGTCACACGTGCGTGACTCCGTGGCCGTACATGCGTAGCCACAGGAGCGGGTGCGTTTCTGGGTGCCGTTTCCACATGTGACGCTGCAGGGAACCCAGTCACTCCACTCCTCGTACTCTGAGAAAACACAGGGAGAAGAATGAAGGACAGACAGCGCACAGAGAGGAAAAACAAAACTATAGAGTAATATATGAAGAGCGGGCTTTGAAGTTAGGTTGTGAATTCCTCTCCCAGCTGGTGTATGTGTGTTATGTAATTAAGGAGAGCTGAAAAAGGGCCAAGTAGCGACAGCGTGGGACCTCTGAGACACGCTGCTCTGTGTTTAAACAGCGCTCGCAGGAGGAGGACTTCAAAAGCCTTTTCTTGCAGTGAGAGTGATGACGGCTGTATGCTAGCAAAACATCTTATCAACAACTGAGCCAGAATGACTTGTTTTTCCTTTCCTTTTTTTCTCTCTGCAAAAAGGAGCTTAAAATAACAGTGTTAGATCATATGCTAACAGAGTAGTAGAGTGATGACTTATTTTTGTAGGCTGACCCTGAAGTTAGCATCACAAGGACTCCCTCAACGAAAAGCAATGGGAATCCATTGGAATATTGCAGAAAATAATCTCTGTCGTAAACACAAGTTTATGATACTTACACGTTTTGTTCAGCCGTTTTATAACACAAAGAAGGACATTTATGAGAGGGGTATTTACTGTAAAGGAACAAAATATCCACAATTCTTGGGTACTTAATCGAAAAACACAAAATTAAAAAATGTTGGGTTTTAGGACAGTTTCTAGAGGAAGAAAGTGCAATGCCCTTAAAAAAGTAAAGATCTGGGAGTATTCCCCTGTTCCACACAGAAGATAATGATGCTCTGTGACCAATCGAATTGGGCCGAACACACTAATGATCAGACAGGAATCACTGCCAGCTTGCTTTGAGTATGAGAGTGAGAAGTCATCTGGAGGGTGAGCACATGAAATGTGTGTGTTCTTGTGTTAGCACACTGCTACATACAAGGCATACAGTTAGCTTAGCGACACATACGTTCAAAGTCTGCAGTGAAATGCCTCAGAGGACATTAAGAACAGCCTTTTTGAGTGACGCACAATAAATATTTGACGTTAAAATTATAATAACAATATAACTGTAATACCAAATATTCAAAGCAACATTGAAGGGTTCCAAGTCCAGTGTGGTTTTTAAAATCGGATTTACTAGAAGTCCTGTTTGGGTAAGTATTAATAAAGGGCACAAAGCCATATTTTGAAGGGAGCATGGCTTACTTTAAATAGTTATTATCTCCGGGGGATCAGCAGTGCACCAGCAATCTGGGAGAATTGAGACTTTCTTCATGCTTTTGCCTCATTAATGCCGCATAAATCGATAAATCACCTTAAACATGTACAAAATAGGCAGATATGACACTGATTCAGTCTTTTCTCCTGTCTGAAAACCAGGTGGCCACACAAATCACTGCTTGTTTTGCTCAAATCTCTCAATGGATATCTGCACACCATGTAAAGCTAAACCTTGAGGAGACTGCTCTATCCATGATCCTACTATCAACATCAGGCCAAAACACACTAACTGTCACTGCACCGCCCAACATTGCTGCTACAACCCTGCAGATACACTCTTTTCAACATTGGGAGAACATGTTTTAGAATCTGTTTGGATACACTGGTACTGGCTGGATATGTCATGCGGCTTTCACACCAGCGCTTTTCCCTTTCTAGCTCCTAGCGAGAGCTTTTCTGGTTCAGCTCCGGTTTCCCTTTTCAGCTCCCGCTCTGTTCACACTGCCCAGAGCTGCGTCATGACGTCACAGTTTACGTCGCTGATTTTCTCCCACAACAACAACGGGGGGGGGGACTGCGTCGGGTCGATGATCGTGTTGCTTTTAATCATACGAAGCCAGATTAAATTAAATAACGACTTCTCCAACCTTATACTTTTCTCCAGAGTGCCGTGGTTCATTGTTTATTAATGTGTTTCAGCGGCATTTACCGACCGCTGCAGTGCTGGCTGCTCTTCCACGGGAGTTTATTCTCCCGTTAGCTCCGGGTTAGCTCACACGGCTCTAAAGTATTCACTGTCTGACTGTCACACAAGCAGCTGATACATATCCCCAGTTCCCCTTAAGTGAATGTGTGTCAGTCTGAATTGACGCTGTTTGGCATCACAACGCTGTTATGAAAGTTTCTCTGGTATAACATGGGTGATGTTAGCATAGCAACCGAAGCTAAACTGACTACTTGCTAAGCCGTTTTCTACAGGCACTTTTTACCGGCGTATTTTTCATTATGATTCTACTTGTGATAGTCGGACATGACAACCTGTACAGCCCATGTATCTCCACAATGATCAATAACAGCGAACGGATGGTCAAAGTAAGGTTTCCTGCACGCCTCGACGTAAGAGACGTAAGCGACGCCGCGTCATAGCTCCGAAGCTCTTGCCTCTGGACCGACAATTTTTTGGAGCTGGAAGTGAACCGCATTCCGGAGCTATGACGCGCCGCCGCTGCGGTGTGAACAGGAAAAACCGGTGCTTTTCCAGCTCCAGCTCCGAGCAGGAGCTGGAAAAGCGCCGGTGTGATGCATCATCTTTTAACTGTCTCCTTATTGTGTTGTGTTATTTTGTTAATATGTCTGTAAAGCACTTTTTAAATGTATTTTTAAATCAGATTAACAATCTCACCATAGTTATCCTTTGCATCCCAGCCTGTGTTCCAGTGACCGCCCCATTCTCCGCCCACTCCACTCAACACGGGCTCCTCTGGGTCGTAGGTGTATTCCTCAGATTGTTCTTCCTGAGTGGATTTTTCCAGCCCGTTCTCCAGCTGATCTGGGTACTCCCAGAACAGCGGCCAGAACAGCTTCTTGTGGCTGTTGGCCCATTCTGAGGAGGACACCGACCAGTCGTTATGCTGCCCCCCTTTCACCAGGTCCATCTCCACCTCTGTCTCCGTCTGTGAGTCCCCTACCACCTCGATGGTCACCTGAAAGAAAAACACAAAATACTTGCTTTATAGTTTAGCCAGATGCAAATAATCTAATTTAGACTGATAACAGTTGTTATCTTCTACTACAATGTCAGACCAATAATACTCTTAAGGCCCAATCTGACAACAAAGAACTGACACAGACGGACCCCGACTGTTGTGTCGCCTCGCGTCTCTGCGCCTTGGCCATGTGTCGCACTGGAACACACCGCAAAGACTTCAGCCGACGGCCAAGAAGCACGTACGAACTGCACATGCGTGAGTGGCAATAACTCTCCTTACCAGCAGGCAGCGGTAGTGTGTATTCGTCATTCAAAAGAGGCAACAACCGGAAGACAGACTGCGTGATAACCGAGAGAAGAAGAACAGACTGCGTGATATAAACAAACAACAAATAGCGTGTGCGTTCCATTTTCACTCTGCAGCGAGAAGCTCATGGGGCTTTCCCGAACCTGTGTCGAGAGCTGGAGTTAAATGAAATCTCAGATTTGCCTTCTTAATAGTTTGTTTGGGTCCCTCACTTCCGTTTCGCTTCTCATGCACTGATTCGCTAAGCTGAACAGCCAATCAGAGTGATTTCTTTGGCCGGCGGGTTTTCGGCCGAAAAGGCGTCGGCACGGCTGAAAAGACCCGACGGTGCGGGACACACCAATCCGAGTAGGGCGTGTCGACGCTCATCGTCGGCCTGACGCCCACCGACGCCGATAATCGGCTTGGTGTGTCCGTGCCTTTACACTCAACAACTTGCTTCAGTGGAACAACTTTGACAAAAATGACCTCAGCAGCAAAAACAAAGATTCTGTCATTTGAGATAATCGTCATTACCTAAAATATGCATTCACACAGAAGTGTCATATAATGATGGTGACAGAGCTAACTTGCTCAAACAAATGCCTCTACAAAGCAGTTATAGTACATGGGTAATGCAATGAGTAATACTGAAGGGAACCAGAGTCCAACTTGCAGTAAGGGGGTAGCAACCCGATTGGCCAAGGCAGGGCAATGCAAACAGGATGGTTTAACCACGTCGTGGATGTTTGATAGGCCTGATCCATTCACAGAATGGTGGGCCAGTACCAGTGTATCCAAACAGATTCTAAAACATGTTCTCCCAATGTTGAAAAGAGTGTATCTGCAGGGTTGTAGCAGCAATGTTGGGCGGTGCAGTGACAGTTAGTGTGTTTTGGCCTGATGTTGATAGTAGGATCATGGATAGAGCAGTCTCCTCAAGGTTTAGCTTTACATGGTGTGCAGATATCCATTGAGAGATTTGAGCAAAACATGACATTCTTTAGCCGTGGTAGGACAAGCCATGAAAGCAAATAAGAGAGCCAAGTCAATTGGTGTAGAGACAAAAAAGAATTGGGGCCGAGGATGGAGCCCAGAGGGATACCAGTGGTGAGTTGACAAGGGTCTGACACAGACTCCTCTCTATGACCCTGTAGGTGTGGTGCTTGAGGTAAGATTTGAGCAGGGAAAGGGCAGAGCCTGAGATTCCTACTTCTTGACATTTGTAAAGGAGATTTTGTTGTTTAGTTGTGTCAAATGCAGCAGAAAGGTTCAAAGGATGATTACAGAGGAGAGGGAGACTGCTCTTACGGTCTGCAGTTCCTCAGTGACAGCAAGGAGGTTAATATCAGTTAAGTGGCATGCCATGAAACAGACTGGTAGGAATAACGAAGGCTGTTTTGATGAAGGTATGAAGAGAGTTTATTAAAGACAGCTCTCTCAAGTGTGTTGGATTGACAGGGGAGAAGAGAGACAGGTCTGTAGTCTGTTACATCACAAGGGTCAAGTGTGGATTTCTTTAGGAGAGGGTTACATCTTGCCTCTTTGGAAAACAACCATTTGCTTAGGAAATGTTGATGAGATTTGTGAAAAAAGGAAAATGATTAGGAGCAATAGACTGGAGCTGGTGAGAGGGGATTGGGTCCAGAGAGCATTATCAGGGTTGGAAGTGGTAACAAGGCTTAGAATAGCTCTTTACTAAGCAGTTGACACAATCGCTTGGTAGAACGCAAGAAGGAAATGAGGAACTGAAGGGATCGAGAAGGGTGGAGAAGATACAGAATAGTTTTTGGGGGTTGCAGAATAGGGTGGAATTTTAGATTGAAAGTCATTTTTGCTGTAGAAACAGAAGAAGAGAAAGAGAAGATATTGGGAATGAGGTTGTCAAGGTGTTTGGACATCCACCATTTCCTCTCAGCTCCCCATAGGATGGTTCTGTCAGCACTTATCGAGTCAGTCAACCAGGGAGCTAAAGGGGAGGCGTGTGGCGCAGTGGATAGAGCCTTGGTGTTGGGATCAGGGGGTCACAGGTTCAAACCCCACTGCAGTCAGCATGTTGTTGTTGTGTCCCTGAGACACTTCACCCCAAATTGCTCCTGTGGGGATTGCCCACAGTATTGAGTATGTAAGTCGCTTTGGATAAAAGCGTCTAACAAGTAACATGTAATGTAATGTAATGACTGACAAACCAGCCTTGAGGTGAGAGGACAGAAAGAGTCTAGAGATGAGGATAGAGTATTTGTCACAGAGTTTGGAGAAATGAGTGAGAAACCGGGAGCACTGAGAGCACAAATGAAGCAAGAGAGGAGGTTACCCATAACCGTATTAGAGGATGTCCTTTTGTCATAATGGGAAAGGGGCAGAGTGAAGGATATGAGAAAGGGATCAGAGAGGTGATCTGAAGTTACCTACTGTGACTCCAGCTTCTATGAGTATAGGCGTAGCCCTCTAAGGCTATCGCTATTGGGTAATCCCCCTGCGCACCCGCGCAGCACTGAAACACTTGTAGTCCACGCCCGCCCGCAAGGTGGGCCCCACCCGGGCTCCCTTCCGGTATAAATAGGAAGGAGGCCCGACAATCTGCTCCCACACAAAACAACTTTTCTTCAGCTATTCGTGGAGCCCGTGGGGCCCAGAACTTAGAGGGCTACGCCAATACTCATAGAAGCTGGAGTTACAGTAGGTAACTTCAGTTCTATTTCGTATATGGCTTCGCCCTCCAAGGCTATCGCTATTGGGTTAAGGGCGAAGCAAGATGTAGTCTGCCCACTGGGTCCCCCCGGTACAAGAAGCACAGACACACCTGCTCAGATAATAACCCATGCCTATTGCGCCATGCGAATGGCGCATCACAGTCCCTGGAATATAGCATAACATGAATATTTACCATGAGGGGACGAAGGCTGGGAATAATACATACCTGCCGCTGTGAGAAAGTAGAGACGAAGGTCACACTTTGCCCAGTGACAGAAAGGAGGGGGAATAGCAGCTCTCTGCGTGCAGACAGGCAGGAGAGCGCACAGCTGGATCCCTGACATCACTCACTCTGACAGGACATTCCGTACGAAATGTGTCAGGGGAAAAAGGGGGACGTCCCTCTCATAAAAGGGAAATACAGGCCACTCTCCGTGTGCCGAGGCAGGAGAGAGGCGCACAGCTGGATCCCTGACGTCACTCACTCTGACAGGACACTCAGCACAGGGTGTGTCAGAGAGGAATGGGAGACATCCCTCAAATAAAATTGAATAAATGAACAGGGAGAAGACCAAGATGCCGCAATGCAAATGTCTTCCACTGTCATTCCTCCGTGCAAAGCCGTGGAGGAGGAAACATTCCTCTGGTGGAGTGCGCATTGATGTTCTCCGGGGGATCCACCCCAGCGGAGACATATGTGACACAGCTTCACACAGCCAGTGTGACAGCCGTTGTGCAGATAGAGACTGCCCTATCGAGCGCTCTCTATAAGGCACAAACAGGCGCTGAGAACGGCGCAAGGCAGCCGTGCGCGCCACATAGCAGGACAGCTGAGATGAGACGTGGCTTCTTCCTCCGACCTGTGAGGAGGGGGAAAGAAGCCAGCCAGGGTGATCACTCTTGACCTAAAAGAGTTGTGATGACCTTAGCCTTAGGCATGAAGCCGGGTTAGGGCGTAACCCAGCTGAACTGCCATCTCCTTGGATCCGGAGACATGACGGAGCCACAGAGAGAGCGAATCACTCACCCTTTTCGCTGATATTAGAGCCAAAAGTAATAGCCTACTTTGGCTGATAACAGTTTAAGGGGAACCTGATCTAAAGGTTCAAAAGGGCTTTGCTTAGTGCGCGTAACACCAAAGCCAAATCCCACTGAGGCGCCAGTGCGCGTGACCCGCCAGTGTGCGTGACACATGTCTGAGTCTCCGTCCTCCTCGCATAAACGGCTGCTGCGCTCTGCGAGAACCTCTGTTCAAATCGCCGGGAATATACATTGCTCTGATCATGATGGAGAGCAACGTGTGTGCGCGCCCAGAACAGCAGCCGCCTGGCTGCGTTCAGAAGCTGCGCAGATCGTACTCCTCCCTGGCGATTGAGGTAGGCTGCCGTGGTCTGTTGGCTGGGCGAATCAACACATGTTTGATTGTACAGCAACGAGGCGAAGTGATGGAATACTCCAGCACATTTTACCTCTGACGCACGGGGTCGGTGCGTGGGCGAATGAACCACCTCTGGAGACCCCTCCTGTGGGGGAGACCCCAGGGAATCCCCACGTGATCAGCTGACGTCATGCTGAGCAGCTGTATCACGGAGAGGGCTGTCACCACGCTGTGGGATGTGACACGCTGGATAGGGAGCTGTCAGTCTCTCCACTCGCTGCAGCGAGAGCCGCGCTCTGCTGGCTGAGTTTTATTCCACTCGCAGATAAATGAATGTCTGGGGGGGAAGAGGACAGCTCTTCTTCAAATCCATTATGGAAACCAAGCTTTGACAGATGCGATACGAGATGTAACGTCTGTAAAGCGACTTCCTCCCTGGAGCGAGCCAGCAATAGCAGGTCGTCCAGATAAAACCACACTCTCTCATCCATCCTCTGTGTAGTGGCTCCAGCCTTCTATACACTTTGAAAAAATGTGAGGAGCCAGGGAACATCCGAACGGCAGACGATTGTCTGGTCTGATATTTCCCTGAAAAGAGAAACGCAGGAATTTCCTGAGTTTCGGGATGATGATAGGG